AGGCCAACATTCAAATCCAGGAAATACAGAGAACGCCACAAAGATACTCCTCGAGAAGAGCAACTCCAAGACACATAATTGCCAGATTCACCAAAGTTGAAATGAAGGAAAAAATCTTAAGGGCAGCCAGAGAGAAAGGTCGGGTTACCCACAAAGGGAAGCCCATCAGACTAACAACAGATCTCTCAGCAGAAACTCTACAAGCCAGAAGAGAGTGGGGGCCAATATTCAACATTCTTAAAGAAAAGAATTTTAAACCCAGAATTTCATATCCAGCCAAACTAAGTTTCATAAGTGAAGGAGAAATAAAATCCTTTACAGATAAGCAAATGCTTAGAGATTTTGTCACCACTAGGCCTGCCTTACAAGAGACCCTGAAGGAAGCACTCAACATGGAAAGGAACAACCGGTACCAGCCATTGCAAAAACATGCCAAAATGTAAAGACCATTGAGGCTAGGAAGAAACTGCATCAACTAACGAGCAAAATAACCAGTTAATATCATAATGGCAGGATCAAGTTCACACATAACAATCTTAACCTTAAATGTAAATGGACTAAATGCTCCAATTAAAAGACACAGACTGGCAAACTGGATAAAGAGTCAAGACCCATCAGTCTGCTGTATTCAGGAGACCCATCTCACACGCAGAGACATACATAGGCTCAAAATAAAGGGATGGAGGAAGATTTACCAAGCAAATGGAGAACAAAAAAAAGCAGGGGTTGCAATACTAGTCTCTGATAAAACAGACTTTAAACCATCAAAGATCAAAAGAGACAAAGAAGGCCATTACATAATGGTAAAGGGATCAATTCAACAGGAAGAGCTAACTATCCTAAATATATATGCACCCAATACAGGAGCACCCAGATTCATAAAGCAAGTCCTTAGAGACTTACAAAGAGACTTAGACTCCCATACAATAATAATGGGAGACTTCAACACTCCACTGTCAACATTAGACAGATCAACGAGACAGAAAGTTAACAAGGATATCCAGGAATTGAACTCACTCATCTCTGCAGCAAGCAGACCTAATAGACATCTATAGAACTCTCCACCCCAAATCAACAGAATATACATTCTTCTCAGCACCACATCATACTTACTCCAAAATTGACCACGTAATTGGAAGTAAAGCACTCCTCAGCAAATGTACAAGAACAGAAATTATAACAAACTGTCTCTCAGACCACAGTGCAATCAAACTAGAACTCAGGACTAAAAACTCAATCAAAACCGCTCAACTACATGGAAACTGAACAACCTGCTCCTGAATGACTACTGGGTACATAACGAAATGAAGGCAGAAATAAAGATGTTCTTTGAAACCAATGAGAACAAAGATACAACATACCAGAATCTCTGGGACACATTTAAAGCAGTGTGTAGAGGGAAATTTATAGCACTAAATGCCCACAAGAGAAAGCAGGAAAGATCTAAAATTGACACTCTAACATCGCAATTAAAAGAACTAGAGAAGCAAGAGCAAACACATTCGAAAGCTAGCAGAAGGCTAGAAATAACTAAGATCAGAGCAGAACTGAAGGAGATAGAGACACAAAAAACCCTCCAAAAAATCAATGAATCCAGGAGTTGGTTTTTTGAAAAGATCAACAAAATTGACAGACCACTAGCCAGACTAATAAAGAAGAAAAGAGAGAAGAATCAAATCGACACAATTAAAAATGATAAAGGGGATATCACCGCCGACCCCACAGAAATACAAACTACCATCAGAGAATACTATAAACACCTCTAGCAAATAAACTGGAAAATCTAGAAGAAATGGATAATTTCCTGGACACTTACACTCTTCCAAGACTAAACCAGGAAGAAGTTGAATCCCTGAATAGACCAATAGCAGGCTCTGAAATTGAGGCAACAATTAATAGCCTACCAACCAAAAAAAGTCCAGGACCAGATGGATTCACAGCTGAATTCTACCAGAGGTACAAGGAGGAGTTGGTACCATTCCTTCTGAAACTATTCCAATCAATAGAAAAAGAGGGAATCCTCCCTAACTCATTTTATGAGGCCAACATCATCCTGATACCAAAGCCTGGCAGAGACACAACAAAAAAAGAGAATTTTAGACCAATATCCCTGATGAACATCGATGCAAAAATCCTCAATAAAATACTGGCAAACCGGATTCAGCAACACATCAAAAAGCTTATCCACCATGATCAAGTGGGCTTCATCCCTGGGATGCAAGGCTGGTTCAACATTCGCAAATCAATAAACATAATCCAGCATATAAACAGAACCAAAGACAAGAACCACATGATTATCTCAATAGATGCAGAAAAGGCTTTTGACAAAATTCAACAGCCCTTCAGGCTAAAAACGCTCAATAAATTCGGTATTGATGGAACGTACCTCAAAATAATAAGAGCTATTTATGACAAACCCACAGCCAATATCATACTGATTGGCAAAAACTGGAAAAATTCCCTTTGAAAACTGGCACAAGACAGGGATGCCCTCTCTCACCACTCCTATTCAACATAGTGCTGGAAGTTCTGGCTAGGGCAATTAGGCAAGAGAAAGAAATCAAGGGTATTCAGTTAGGAAAAGAAGAAGTCAAACTGTCCCTGTTTGCAGATGACATGATTGTATATTTAGAAAACCCCATTGTCTCAGCCCAAAATCTCCTTAAGCTGATAAGCAACTTCAGCAAAGTCTCAGGATACAAAATTAATGTGCAAAAATCACAAGCATTCTTATACACCAGTAACAGACAAACAGAGAGCCAAATCAGGAATGAACTTCCATTCACAATTGCTTCAAAGAGAATAAATACCTAGGAATCCAACTTACAAGGGATGTAAAGGACCTCTTCAAGGAGAACTACAAACCACTGCTCAGTGAAATAAAGAGGACACAAACAAATGGAAGAACATACCATGCTCATGGATAGGAAGAATCAATATCGTGAAAATGGCCATACTGCCCAAGGTAATTTATAGATTCAATGCCGTCCCCATCAAGCTACCAATGAGTTTCTTCACAGAATTGGAAAAAACTGCTTTCAAGTTCATATGGAACCAAAAAAGAGCCCGCATCTCCAAGACAATCTTAAGTCAAAAGAACAAAGCTGGAGGCATCACGCTACCTGACTTCAAACTATACTACAAGGCTACAGTAACCAAAACAGCATGGTACTGGTACCAAAACAGAGATATAGACCAATGGAACAGAACAGAGTCCTCAGAAATAATACCACACATCTACAGCCATTTGATCTTTGACAAACCTGAGAGAAACAAGAAATGGGGAAAGGATTCCCTATTTAATAAATGGTGCTGGGAAAATTGGCTAGCCATAAGTAGAAAGCTGAAATGGATCCTTTCCTTACTCCTTATCGAAAATTAATTCAAGATGGATTAGAGACTTAAATGTTAGACCTAATACCATAAAAATCCTAGAGGAAAACCTAGGTAGTACCATTCAGGACATAGGCATGGACAAAGACTTCATGTCTAAAACACCAAAAGCAACGGCAGCAAAAGCCAAAATTGACAAATGGGATCTAATTAAATAAAGAGCTTCTGCACAGCAAAAGAAACTACCATCAGAGTGAACAGGCAACCTACAGAATGGGAGAAAATTTTTGCGATCTACTCATCTGACAAAGGGCTAATATCCAGAACCTACAAAGAACTCAAACAAATTTACAAGAAAAAAACAAACAACCCCATCAAAAAGTGGGCAAAGGATATGAACAGACATTTCTCAAAAGAAGACATTCATACAGCCAACAGACACATGAAAAAATGCTCATCATCACTGGCCATCAGAGAAATGCAAATCAAAACCACAATGAGATACCATCTCACACCAGTTAGAATGGCGATCATTAAAAAGTCAGGAAACAACGGGTGCTGGAGAGGATGTGGAGAAATAGGAACACTTTTACACTGTTGGTGGGATTGTAAACTGGTTCAACCATTGTGGAAAACAGTATGGCGATTCCTCAAGGATCTAGAACTAGATGTACCATATGACCCAGCCATCCCATTACTGGGTATATACCCAAAGGATTATAAATTATGCTGCTATAAAGACACATGCACACGTATGTTTATTGCAGCACTATTCACAATAGCAAAGACTTGGAATCAACCCAAATGTCCATCAGTGACAGATTGGATTAAGAAAATGTGGCACATATACACCATGGAATACTATGCAGCCATAAAAAAGGATGAGTTTGTGTCCTTTGTAGGGACTTGGATGCAGCTGGAATCCATCATTCTTAGCAAACTATCACAAGAACAGAAAACCAAACACTGCATGTTCTCACTCATAGGTGGGAACAGAACAATGAGATCACTCGGACTCAGGAAGGGGAACATCACACACCGGGGCCTATCATGGGGAGGGGGGAGGGGGGAGGGATTGCATTGGGAGTTATACCTGATGTAAATGACGAGTTGATGGGTGCAGCACAGCAACATGGCACAAGTATACATATGTAACAAACCTGCACGTTATGCACATGTACCCTACAACTTAAAGTATAATAATAATAAATAAATTTAAAAAAAAAGCATAAAGCTACAAAAATTAAAACTATTTGTTATTAGCAAAGAGGCAGATGTGTAGATCAATGTAATAGAATGAAGCATACAGAAATAGGCCTGCTCATGTAAAGTTAATTTATTTTTGACAAAGGTGCCAAAGTTATTCAATTTAATTTGTATGGATAAAGATTGAGGGCTGGGCCTGTAATCCCAGCACTTTGGGAGGTTGAGGCCGGTGGATCGCTTGAGCCCAGGAGTTCAAGACCAGCCTGGGCAACAGGGTGAAACCCTGTCTCTATAAAATGTACAAATATTAGCTGGGCATGGGGGGTGTCCACCTGTAGCCCCAGCTACATGGGAGGCTGGGATGGAAGGATCACCTCAACCTCAGAGGTCGAGGCTGCAGTAAGCCTTATGTCACCACTGTACTCCAGTCTGAGCAAGAGTGACATCCTCTCTTAAAAAAAAAAAAAAAAATAGCATTCTCCCTATCTTACACCATGCACACATCTAACTTCAAATGAAAAGTTTTCCTAAATGTGCAACTGGAAACTATAAAGTTTCTAAAAGAAAAAGGAAAAATTTGTGATCTTGCAAAAAAATTTTACATAGGCTAAATAAAACATGAAATATAAAAGTAAAAACACAAATTATGACTTCATAAAAAATGCTCTTCCAAAGATACCTTTTATACGATTAAGACAAAAGCAGTTTAGCTACCAGGTGTTGAGGTGGTAATTAGGGCGAGCTAAACCAAAAGTCACAATCAAACCTTTATTCACTTACCACATGTATTCCTTTGCTTGGTCTGTCGTAACAAAGCACCACAGACTGAGTGGCTTAAACAACAGAAATTTGGTTTTTCACAGTTACGAAAGCTATACTTCTGAGATTAATGTGTTGGCAGGACTGTTTCTTCTGAGCGGTGCCTCCTTGGCTTGTGGATGGTCATCTTTTCCCTTTGTCTTTCATACTTCTCCCTCAGTGGGTGTTTGACCCTAATTTGCTCTTCCTGTAGGAATACCAGTCATTATTAGATTACGGCCCATCCCAGTGATCTCATTTATCTTTAATTACCTTTTTAAAGACCCTGCCTCTAAAGACAATCACATTCTGAGTTACTGGTGGTTAGGACTTCAACATATAAATTGGTGAGGGAGGAGATGCAATTCAGCCCATAACACTTCAACAGTGAACAGCCATAACACTAACAGTGAAGGTGAGGGGCAAAGAAAAAAAAAAAAGTGCTCACTACCAGTGTTCCATTTTCTTTTACAAAATGGCTCTGGTCAAGGGTCAGTCAGATGACATGCAGGGCAGGTAGAGGAATAATCTCATGGCTGATAATCCTGAAAACAACAACGAAAACCTTTCTGTCTTTTTACAGACCCAGGTAGCCAGGAGGAAGGTGAGGGAAATGTGCCAGGAGTGGAAACTGTTACGTCAGAGTGGAGAAAATATCTTAGTCAAGGTTCCCTGATAAGGTTTCAGCAGAAGCACCTAAAATATATCCAGCCTCAGTCCCCTCATAATGAGGTCTCTGAATGGAGGCACCTGTGCTAGGAATGCTGCAAAGCACATGAGCATGCCTGGCCCAGGAGTGGGGGGCTGCATCCTTGACTGCACTTCCTCTATATTTAAACTATCAAAAATACAATGTATAAATGAAAGTCCACGTTTTTAATACATTCTGGATATATAATCTAAAAGTAACTAAAATTAAATTGTCAGTGTACTAATAAAGGAACTGTAGAAATAAACAAAATCCACTTAAATGAGAACAAGCAAAGGCTATTGATTCAGAGCTTCCCATATAGCAATGGAGTGAGACACCATTCCTCGTGTTTGGCAGAGACTCAAAGGCAGGCACACAAGTGGCTAAGTTTTATATGGAAAAAAAGAAAGGCTACAAGTATGCTCTGATTGGAGTCTGTTGCCATGGAAAAGCTGTAGGCAGGCCAACTACAATCAAGGGCATGCTCTATGATTAGTTATGGAGGCATATTTGGCTTTCTCTCATTAGTTCTAAGTTGGAAGTAGGGGCAAAAATTAGAGATGATGTCAGTTATTTATCATGCCTTGGCTGCTTTGGGCCAGTGGCTACTGGGATTGTTGTTCCACTTCCTGAACCGGTTGCTGCAGAATAAGAGAGTTCTCTTTTTATATATGGTGTGACTATTGTCTGTTGTATATTCAGTCTCTCAAAGAGAAAGCAGTATAATATAAGCTCAGGACTTTATGACCAAATTGTACTGTCGGTTTTTGAATAAAGCCCAGCTAATGAATATTCTTTTGCATTTTCTTTCCGGAAACTGGAGTTTATACATGAAATGGAAAGCAACAGAAACATACCTTATAAAATTAGAATTAAAATTACATGTTAAAGTAGAAAAATGTTCAAAAAGCAGAAAATTAAGTGCAATATGCATGAATATACCACAAAATACTAAGGATGAAAAATCTGAGCCGGGAATTCCATGGAGCATAGTGAATAGCAATGCAAATCATAAATAAGGCAAAATACAAGATCGACAGGTCTTAGATCCTAATAAGTTATAATTTTTAATTCATCATACTGTGTTCAGGAAAAAAAATATGTGGAATAGCAAGTTTTAGCATGTTGGAGAAGGCATATATTCCAAGGTATTGATAAAATTAACGATCAGAGAACAAACAAAACTTCCGGCTGTCTCTCAGCCAGTGTAAAAGTAAATGTAAATTGCATTGCTCTTTTTATGTGAAAGAATGAAAAACGTCAAAACCTCAGAGAAGAGATAGTAACATTTTACTTTAAACACTAAAGCACATTTCTCATGCTTTGATAGTTTGGTATGATGGTTAATTGCATAGTCTCTGAAATTAGACTACCAAGGTCAAATCCTATCTTTGTCACTTACAAGCTAACAGTTTCTCTTCATAACATGGGATTCTTGTCATGATTATGTATCATACATTTGAAACACTTAACATAAAACCTATCATGTAGGTTGTTAATACCTCGTCAATGTTTTCTATAACTGTGTTATTTACATGAGTAATAGGTACCGAGTGTCGAATGCTTTACAATCACCATTTAAAACACTGGGGATTCAATAGTAAACCAAATAAACGAGTTCTTTCGTTTTATTGAGGTTGCATTCTGGAAGAATATAAATGTTTTAAAGAAGATTAGGGCAAAATAACAGCTAGAGAGTGATAGTGGAAAGAAGTACATTCTATATAGAATGGTCCAAAAGGATCTCTTTGACGAAGCAACCTGGGAGCAGAGACATGAAGTAAACGAGGAAAAAGTCCCATGAAGACGCAGTGTATTTGATAGAAGGAGTTTGGAATATCCATTACACTTCAATGCATTTTTAATATGTTCCAGAAATAGCAAGGCCAGTTTGGTGGAAAGAATAAGGAAAGAGATGACTGATAGGAGAGATAGACGGGCAAGAACACATACAGTCTTATGAGACACGATGAGAACTTTGGAATTTACTCAGAGTAAGATGGGAAATTACGAGGTATTTTAAACCAAGCAATGACTTGATTTTATTCTGAAAGATTACACTGGCTGCTCTTTGAAGTATGAACTATAGAGGGACAAAGAAGGAAGAAAAAAGACCGTTACCGTTGTCTCTGTCTGCCTGTTTCTCTCTATCTATGTATCTATGAATTCATCTATTATTTACCAATATATCTCTGTCAATAGCTATCTAGAGCATATGTAAGTATATATATTATGGATAACAGTAGAAAAACTATCACATTTCTCTTATCTATCTAAGGTGATATAACAAGGACTCACTTTGGAAGACTTTTTTTTTTTTTTTTTTTTTTTGAGACGAAGTTTAACTCTTGTTGCCCAGGCTGGAGTGCAATGGCATAATTGTACAACACTAAAATAAATCAATAGCACATTAGAACAAGTGAGAAGGTTCAGCAAAGTTCTTAAATCTGTGAAAAATGAATAGTATTACTCTACATGAATAATTTACAAAAAATTATTAGTAATGGCATTATGCTATACCAGTAACAGCAAATATAATGGAAAATAAAATACTATGCACAATAACAACAATATCTAATACTCAACCTAACAAAGAAAGCAAGAGTCTTTTACAGAGAAAAAAAGTAAAGCTATATTAAATTGTACAAAAGGAGATTTTTAAAATGAAACTATATACATCTTTGCAAGTAGGGTAAATCCTTCAGTTTTACTCTTCTTTTCTGAAATTATTTTGCCTTTTCTAGGTCTTTCACATTTCTTTATTCATTTTTGAATCAGCTTGTCAACCTCTGAGGAAAGCTCCCATTGAGATTTTTATTGGAATCTAGTATTTGTAAGGTTTGCAAACAGTTGTCTGCAAAATATTTATAGTGTACATAAGAAAATATCTTAGCTTTCAAAGATGTTTAACCTAGGAAAATATAAATTATTCACTAGACAATAATATGGAGAAACATTTGGCCAATTGTTTTTTAATCAATATTTTTCTTCATTAAAATACATAAATCCAGCAGTAATTATTCCTAAATATAAGAAATACAATATTCTCTAATTCTCTTTAGGTATCACTCTAAATTTACATTAAAATATCTTTCTCACTAGATTACAGGTGAAAATTAAAATGTTGGTCCAAATTAACAGGACTTGCTATAATAAGCATAGCATAGACCCTAATTAATGTTCTTAATTTTCATTAATGTGATAGCATATTTTATTTACATATTATTATTTTATTGTAAATATAATTAGCACTCAGTCTTCTCAGCTGTACAATTTAATGGGTTGAGTTTGATCACACAATTATCAAGAAAGAACAATATATAATTATGCATGATTAAAAGAAAATATTCTTTAACAGTTTATCTCTGTAAAAAACTAAAAAATTCATTTAATTCTTATAAACATATTTAAATTCTGCTTAAATTAGAAAATGCCAGTTTAAAAAAGATACAACAAAAATTTAATATAATTTTTTTTAGGTATAAGTAAACAGGGACAAATATTAAAAGTCACAATTCACCTGTCATCTCTTTTGGTCCACATTTATCACTACATTGCCTTAATATGTGTCTTAGTCTATTCTGCATTAGTATGAAGGAACACCTGAAGCTAGGTAATTTATAAAGAAAATAAGTTTATTTAAGTCGTAGTTCTGCAGGCTGTACAAGCATAGTTCCAGAATCTGCTTCTGGTGGATCTCAGGAAGTTTTCAATCATAGTGTGAAAGAAGGGGAGTAGGCATTAGATGGTAAGAGGAAAGAATCAAGAGAGAGTAGGGGTGCCAGGCTCTGTGAAACAACCAGCTCTCATGTGAATTATTAGAGTAAAATCTCAATACCATGGGAAAATGCCAAACCATTCATGAGGGATCTGCCTCTGTGATCAAACACCTCCCAAAAGATGCCATCTCCAACACTGGGAGTCAAATTTCAACATGAGATTTGGAAGAGACAAATATATAAACTCTATGTATTTAAGCACTGGACATTTGCACCATTGTTGGCTTGAATAACAACAGGAAATTATGTAGAGTAGAACCTTGGAGAAATATATTTAAGTATTCTGTCTTCTGGGGAGCAAAGTCTGTGAAATATCTCAGTCTAGCACTGCTCCTACTGAATGAGCTGAAAAGCACAGGCAAAAGTTCCCTGGGAACTGGAAGGGTTCAGTGTTTATAGATGTTGGGTTATCTGTTGGTCTTTCCAGATGATCAGTGATATGGTTTAGCTTTGTGTCCCCACCCAAATCTCACCTCTAATTGTAATAATCCCCACAGATTGTGGGAGCTACTCGGTGGGAGGTAATTGAATCATTGGGCAGGTTGTTCTTTTTTTTTTTTTTTTTTGAGACAGAGTCTTGCTGTGTTGCCCAGGCTGGAGTGCAGTGGCGCCATCTCGGCTCACTGTAAGCTCCGCCTCCTGGGTTCACGCAATTCTTCTACCTCAGCCTCCAAAGTAGCTGGGACTACAGGCGCCTGCCACCCAGCCAGGCTAATTTTTTTGTATTTTTTAGTAGAG